TAGTGCTAATGACTAAAGCATGCAGAAGTAGTACTAAAGTTGACAGGGGGTTGCTAATGCAGTTTCAACTCTATTAAAGCAAGGTACCGCTGGAATGCCTCTGCAATAGAAATTTATTTGGCTTTCAAAATGAAAAGTACTCTGTAAGCACCACACTACAGAAGTATTTGTATCTGAGCACATTTGCAAACAAAACTCAGAATACTTGTATGACACATGTAACTGGGGGAAAAGAAAGGCCAAAACAAAAAAGATTCAAGGCTTAATTTTCATCTTCAATTATTACTGGAAATAAATACGCAAAAATAACTCAAAAGCGTGGAGATAACATACTAGCTCAAAGAAGAACAACTGAGTCCTTTTGACTTGGAAAAAAAATAACAAAAGGAGACTGTGAGCAAACCTGCAAGTTTTGTAGTTGCTTTTCCTAACAATCTAACTATGTTTTCTGGAGACTTGACTTACTCTTACCATGCAAAAAGTGTGAACCTCAAGAAAATATTTTAAATAATAGCTTTGTCCATTCTTGAGTTTCCGGGGAATTGGGGCACGTAGGTAGTAGTTTTAGGTTTTGCTTTCAGTTTTCTTTTGTATTTGCTTCTTTATCTAGGGGAAATAGAAACTCACTCTCTGCCAAGTGCAACCCTTTATTCAATGTTATTAAGTTTACATTTACGCAGGCTCTTGTATTAAATCTAAATTAACAGAAGCTACTTAGAACAATAGGCCTACAAACTATTCTTTTAGCACAAGCTTTGGTCTTCTGCTTGGTATTTCTCCATATCCTCAGAGCTTTTCCTCAAATTCTTTACCTTTTCCTTAGCTGGTTATTCAGCAGGCTGACTGTTTTCAGCACCTGTGCAAGGTTTAAGTTATTACTAGCTTAGTCATCATATTAAAGTTGTGTTTAATGCAGGGCTAAGTCATCATATGAGTGTTTTTAGAAACAAAAATCTAAAAGAAACAGAAAAAATATTCATGGTTGCCTTTGTATTTCAGCTTTAGAACAAGTCTCATTTGTGAAGACCTAGTTCTCCAAATACCAGTTTGGGGTAAGGAAAGGGTGTATAAACCCACACCCTGTGAAGAAATTACCCTGGGGCAAGATGAGGGACAGACAGAGGAAGCATTCAGTTATTGATAACCCATTTCCATACATCTATAATAAAAAACAGTGCTAAAGCCCACAAAAGTATTTAAGCATCTACCTTTATTCATTAGAGAAGGGATTTATTTGGATAGTTTATTTAAACGAGGAAAGTTCAAGGCAGGTACAGCACCTGACATTACCAACAAAAGAATTATTCAGATGCCAAGGACGTAAAACCATGTGTCCGAAGTGACAGAATAGTCATCTTACATGAAATAAGAAAGCAGGTCTCTTGCTCCAGCCTCCTGTATTTTGTTACCCTACACTGCCTCTGCACAAGCCATCTGTGCTACACACACGTCAAACCAGCTTTCAGCTATCAACAGGGCTTCGGCAGTAAAACAAACAATTACTAATAGATGTATCTTAGAGACAGATTTTTCCATTGAAAAAGCTCAGCACTTCAGCATTCTGTTATTAACAAAAGATCGGAACAAAATGGTACACATTTTCTTCTCCAATATCCATTAATAACAGAATACAGAGATGAGTGAGGGAAGGGGGGCAACGTTTGCTACCAAGCGCACACGTGGAAGACAACACAGAGACCAGCTGGACTGAAAAACTGCTTCCAAGCACTCATTCTAAATTTTCTTTTCCAGCCAAAATCATACAAAGCAAGAGAAAGAGCACAAAAAGCTATTGTCATTTGCACTAGCAAAGAAGTATAATAAGCAATGATGAAAACAAGTTAATGACGCAGCTGTAATGTGGTCTGCTAACCAGGGAATTTTACAAGTAATACAACCTGTCGTACAGCCCAGCATGTGCGCACACACCCCTCAGCTACTGAAACAGGTAAAAACCATTAGACTCGTCAGAAATAAACCTCGTTAGCTGCACTTATAGTAGGAGCTGGGGCAACTGAGAGCCAGGACCTCCTAGATGACAGTGTGACTCTGAAAGCTTCTTCAAACATAACTTCTGTTCAAAGTAGTACTGCAACATTCGCTAATGCGAGTTCTTTGCGACATAAATAAATAAAAAACCAAAATGCTGAAGTGCAGATTACTTGTAGAAGACTACTTTATAACAGCATACAGATGAGTGACATACCCTGCCGGGAAGCTACAGCTATTGCCAGTCAGGCTAACAATATCCACCAGACACCAGGAACAGGTAGAAGAAATCAGTGCTACAGAAATGGAGGCAGCATACAGGGCAGGAGGAAGAACCCTTCTCTGTTTAAAACATGCTTCCCTCGAGTGTACCTGCTGCTTACAGACCTCTGGCCTCCTTTTTTAAGCCCGGCACTGCCATTCTCAGCGCCAGCAATCAGGAGTGACAGCCAGTTCTCTCTTCAAATCTCTCTCATGGTATTGCCTGGCCACACTGTAAGTAAACCCTAACCCTTAAAGTGGGAAACAACCGCAGGCAGGAGCTTATGAAGCTTGTGCCATCAGTGCACGCTCAAAGGGAGCGCGACCGTCGCGGGAAGCTGGTCCCGGGCGTCCCACAGGCCCCGGCCTGCGGCACAGCCATCGGACCGGGGCTCGTGCGCTGGGTGCCATCGCTCCCTGCTGCTACTAATAGAAGTGCTACTTGGATGCGTCTCTGCATCCAAGCTGTCCTGCCTCCACCAGTGCAAACGCGGCCCGGGCGGCGTTCAGCATCAGCACTTGGGCTGGGGCAGCCAGGAGCTGCCTCTGTCCAAAACACAGCAACGAGCCCAGGAAAACAGAAATTAAAACAGCTTATTCGGGCAGGAGAGGAGGCCCCTTTCGGAAGGACGGGATGCTGGATGAGCCAATATGAAGTTCCCGCACTGCCAGCACCACGGGGGCAACCAGGAGCAGCACTGCCGGGCCTGGGCCATGCCGCAGGAGGCGCCAGATGCTTCCAGTTACCCCCTTTACTCCCACACCTACCCTGGTCGCTCCCAGTTACCACCATTTACCCCCAAACAGCTGCCCCCGACGATCCCAGTTACTCCCATTTCCACACAACTCCCGATTACCCCACTACCCCCTACTCTGCTACCCCAGTTACCCCCATCACTACCCTCCTCCCAGTTACCCCTCACAACCCCCACTCTGCTGCCCCAGTTACTCCCACTGCTTTTGCCCCCCC